AATTCCTTTCTAGTTGCCTAAATATCTCATACCAAGTAAACCTACTTTTAGGACAAAGGGTGAACTCTTTACCTCAAGTCATATGATTGAAAAGAAAAATGGAGAAAATTGATATTGTAGTTAAAAAGTAATGTCTCCCCAAGTTTATAGAAAATATAGTAGCAACATATATACATATATAAAGAACATATGTAAAACTATATATATAGTAAACTATATATACATATATATATATAACTATATATATAGTAAGAATCCCTATGAGTATCTTTTTTTTAAAGAAAACATTGTTTCACACTTATATATTCCTTCTAACTACATTTTTGTTCCTAGCCAGAATGTGTTACTTGAATTAAACATATGTTATAATATTCTTTGCAGTTTAAACATTTAGAAACAAAGAATGATAGAGCTACAGGAGAGCTTGGAGCTCATCTGTCTTGGTTCTTGACCAACTATATGGTCCCCAGGCTTTTTTTTTTTTGTGGTATGCGGGCCTCTCACTGTTGTGGCCTCTCCCATTGTGGAGCACAGGCTCTGGACGCGCAGGCTCATCAGCCATGGCTCACGGGCCCAGCCGCTCCGTGGCATGTGGGATCTTCCCGGACTGGGGCACGAACCCGTGTCCCCTGCATCGGCAGATGGACTCTCAACCACTGCACCACCAGGGAAGCCCGGTCCCCAGGCTTTGAAGCAACTACCTATATAATCTTTGGCCCTCAAGCTATGAGAACTACTAGTTCTGGGATCTTGAATAAATTTCTTGACCTCTCAAGGGCTCAATTCCCTCATCTATAAAATGGAGATAACAATATCTTCCTTGCTGAGTTGTTCAGTACATGGTATGTCCTAAATAAATTATAGTTTATTTTTATATAATTTTTAATGTAATATTCTGTGGCATTGTTTATAATATATGGAATCATAAATTTCAAGGGAATCAACATATGGAATGTTTTTCAATAAATACTTTTACTAGAAGCAAAATTTTGTCTTATCAAGGACATTGCTATACATTAATTTGAATAAATCTATGTTTTTGATTTAAATAATTTACTAAATATTTGAATGATGATAATTAAGTATAATTATTATAGTAAAAGTTTTTTATACTTAACCTTATTTAATAGTCTCTTATCAAAAATAACAGAAACCATACATTCTCAGTGTCTTTATTCCAAGATTTCCATCTTGTTATTACCTTAGTCCTCTGAATTTTTGTCTTAAATGAACATAAATTTAGATGAGTAAATAACTCTCTTCAAGTTGCTGAAGGTCATTTATATGAAAAGACATTGAACTGTGAGATAAATACAACTGAAACTCAAATTAACATCATATTCACTTTAGTGCAATCAAAATATTTTAATTGTATTTGAATAATTTTAAGATTTTTTAGATGTCATATAATTTATAATCTTGTTTAATGTTCCTTGAATATTTTTCTATTGTCCTAATTTCAATATCTTAAATCTTTACAACTAATTTAGGAAGAATGTGAAGATCGTTCTGCTTAGAACACTGCAATGAACCACTATATTGCTGGAGCCCAGTAATTCTGTTTGAGAAATTATCACAGATTTCAAGGTTTCAGAGAATAGTAACAATCATACATTAGGGCAGTTAAAGTTTCTAGTTAAGACATAAGGCCTTGAGATTTGAGTTATAATTGTTTCTACCTCTTCATTACCTTTTCTGTTTATGAAATGTTGTTGTGCCTTTACAGATTGCTTAACATAATCATTGCTGAAAGTTATTCCCTTTAAAATGTAGAGATAGATTCAAATATAAATATATGGAGAGAGAAAGAGTCTGATGATATGTGCATATATTTAAAGATATAGATATTTTCCCTAAAAACTGGTAACATCTCAAAGAAAGAGACTCTTGACACTGTAAGTTTTAAAAGACATACCATGTTTTTTCTTTTTCTTCCATACACCTTTTTTATTTTCATCTTTATTGGCGGATAAATGCTTTACAATGGTTGTGTTAGTTTCTGCTGTACAACAAAGTGAATCAGCTATATGTATACATATATCCCCATACTCCCTCCCTCTTGAGCCTCCCTCCCACCCTCCCTACCCCACGCCTATAAGTCATCACAAACCAGTGAGCTGATCTCCTTGTTCTATGCAGCAGCTTCCCACTACCCATCCATTTTACATTTGGTAGTGTATATATATCAGTGCTACTCTCTTACTTTATCCCAGCTTCCACTTCTCCCCCTGTGTCCTCAAGTATGTTGCCTATATCTGTGGCTTTATTCCTGCCCTGCCACTAGGTTCATCAGTACTGTTCTTTTAGATTCCATATATATGCGTTAGCATACTGTATTTGTTTTTCTCTTTCTGACTTACCTCACTCTGTATGACAGACTCTACAACAATCCACCTCATTACAAATAACTCAATTTCATTCCTTTTTATAGCAGAGTAATATTCCACTGTAAGCATGTGTCACATTTTCTTTATCCATTCATCTGTCGATGGACATTTAGGTTGCTGCCATTTCCTGACTATTGTAAATAGTGCTGCAATGAACATTGTGGTACATGTGTCTTTGAATTATGGTTTTCTCAGGGTATATGCCCAGGAGTGGGATTGCTGGGTCACACGGTAGTTCTATTTTTATTTTTTTAAGAAACCTCCATACTGTTCTCCATAGTGACTGTATCAATTTACTTTCCCACCAACATTGCAGAAGTGCTCCTTTTTCTCCACACCCTCTCCAGCATTTATTGTTTGTAGATTTTTTGATGATGGCCATTCTGACTTGTGTGAGGGGGTACCTCATTGTGGTTTTGATTTGTATTTCTCTAATGATTAGTGATGTTGAGCATCTTGTCATGTGTTTGTTGGCAATCCATATGTCTTCTTTGGAGAAATATCTGTTTAGGTCTTCCACCCATTTTCAATTGGGTTGTTTGTTTTCTTGATATTGAGCTGCATGAACTGCTTGTTTATTTTGGAGATTAATCCATTGTCAGTTGCTTCATTTGCAAATATTTTCTCCCATTCTGAGTTGTCTTTTCATCTTATTTATGCTTTCCTTTGCTGTGTAAAAGCTTTTAAGTTTCATTAGGTCCCATTTGTTTATTTTTGTCTCTTACTCTAGGAGGTGGGTCAGAAAGGATCTTGCTGTGATTTATGTCATAGAGTGTTCTGCCTATGTTTTCCTTGAAGAGTTTGATAGTGTTTGACCTTACATTTAGGTCTTTAATCCATTTTGAGTTTATTTTTGTGTATGGTGTTAGGAAGTGTTTTAATTTCATTCTTTTACATGTAGCTGTCCAGTTTTCTCAGCATCACTTATTGAAGAGGCTGTCATTCCTCCATTATATATTCTTGCCTCTTTTATCAAAGATAAGGTGATCATACATCTGTGGGTTTATCTCTGGGCTTTCTATCCTTTTCCATTGATCTATATTTCTGTTTTTGTGCCAGTACCATACTGTTTTGATTACTGTAGGCTTGTCATATAGTCTGAAGTCAGGGAGCCTGATTCCTCCAGTTCCATTGGCTCTTCAGGGTCTTTTGTGTTTCCATACAAATTGTGAGATTTTTTTGTTCTAGTTCTGTGAAAATGCCATTGGTAATTTGATATGAATTGTGTTGAATCTGTAGATTGGTTTCATTACCATAGTCATTTTCACAGTGTTGATTCTTCCAATCCAAGAGCATGGTATATCTCTTCATCTCTTTGTATTGTCTTTGATTTTTTTCACCAGTGTTGTACAGTTTTCTGCATACAGGTCTTTTGACTCCTTAGGTAGGTTTATTCCTATGTATTCTATTCTTTGTATTGCAATGGTAAATGGGAATGTTTCCTTAATTTCTATTTCTGATTTTTCATTGTTAGTGTATAGGAATGCAAGAGATTTCTGTGCATTAATTTTGTATCCTGCTACTTTACTAAATTCATTGATTTGCTCTAGTAGTTTTCTGGTAGCATCTTCAGGATTGTCTATGCATAGTATCATGCCATCTACAAACAGTGACAGTTTTACTTCTTCTTTCCAAGTTTGGATTCCTTTTATTTCTTTTCCTTCTCTGACTGCAGTGGCTAAAACTTCAAAAACTATGTTGAATAATAGTGGTGGAGTGAGCACCCTTGTGTTGTTCCTGATCTTAGAGGAAGTGCTTTCAGTTTTTCACCAATGAGAAGGAAGTTGGCTGTGGGTTTGTCATATATGGCTTTTATTACGTTGAGGTAGCTTCCCTCTATGCCCACTTTCTGGAGAGTTTTTATCATAAATGGGTGCTGAATTTTCTCAAAAGTTTTTCTGCATCTATTGAGATTATCATATGGTTTTTATTCTTCAATTTGTTAGTATCATATTGATTGATTTCCATATATTGAAGACTCCTTGCATTCCTGGAATAAACCCCACTTGATCATGGTGTATGATCCTTTTAATGTGCTGTTGGATCCTGTTTGCTAGTATTTTGTTGAGGATTTTTACATCTATGTTCATCAGTGATATTGGCCTGTTTCTTTTTTGTGACATCTTTGTCTTGTTTTGTTATCAGAGTGATGGTGTCCTCATAGAATATTTGGGAGTGTTTAAAGACATACCATATTTTGAAACTCAATAAATATCTTTAGATATTATGTGTTTTGAAATATGTATAGGAATAACCTGACAAATAATAAGAATATTTTTCTTAATTGATTTATAAAATATTTCATGCTATTACTAAATTCCTGTAGTCAAAGTAGAAAACAATCTTCCACCACTACTACCACCACCATACAAATACATGTGTATTATAGAGCATACTTACTGGAGATGTGAAAGCAAAAATAAGTTGGTTGCGTGATTGAATACTCTTTGGTTGAGTCTAATGATAATAGGAATCAAAAGAAGCTAATCTTATGTTGACTCATACATTTATATATCTCTCTGAATCTGTATCTATGGTTTACAATTCATCAAAATCGGCAAACTGATTTCAATGACTAAGCCTTTGCAAACTATTTCCCTTTCCATATTTTAGCTACCATGCAAAAGCGCCTGAAGAAGGAGAAAAAAGCAAAGAGAAAACTACAAGAAGCCTTAGAATTTGAATCAAAGCGAAGAGAGCAAGTGGAGCAAGCACTTAAGCAAGCCACTACTAGTGACAGTGGATTGAGGATGTTGAAAGGTAATGTCTGTATTGCACCTTCACACTCAAGGTACACAAAGCAGAGAGAGGGAGAGAGCCAGGGAGGGAGAGGGGGAGAGGGAGAGGGGGAGAAGGAAAGGGAGGAGGGAAGGAGGGAGGGAGAGAGAAGCTTTGTCCAGGAATACAGTAATTAAAAAATCAATTTGAGGCCAAGTGCTTTAGTTCATTAATTAAATCTGTCAAAATAAGCCCTATTCCGGGAGATATAAATAGGCTAGGAACAGGAAATCCTTCTGCTTTTTGCAGAAGAAGTAATATTGATAACTTCCCTGCAGTTAAAATGTAAGTGTTTTAGGTCCATTCGTGTTAAAATATGCTGATGTTTGGTGTACTTTATTTTAATGAGCTTTAGAATGCTGGTTCCTTTAATGCAGATTGCATCAGTGATGAGAGCTTAAAGAGTGCCTGGTTGAAAATGAATGTTCTAAGTAAATTCCTGGGGCTCCTGTGAGAAGAGGTGCTTCTGTCATGAAATCTCTTAATTCCAAACTTTTCTGATTCCATTTTACATTATGAAACCCCACAACGTAATTTCATTTCATAGGCTATTCAAATTTTTCTTTCAGAGCACATGAACAGCTGGTATATCTAACTGATATGTGTGCATAACAGGGATGAGCCTAAGAATATTATACACTTGCATACACTTACTCCATAGCTAATATGACACACACATGAACTAAAAGGAGGTTGCTTCAAGTGTCCCATACTAAGAATGAATAGAGAATACTGTACAATGTTCAATCGTATTTTTACCTTTCCAAAAGTTCAGTTTCCTTTTTACTGTGGCTGTCTCGGATCATTGTCCTCACAATCGATAGAAATACAGAGGTAGATTATTAGCTCATGACAGCCATGCCTCATTGAGATGCAGAAGAGAGAAGATAAATAATAATACATCAATATCTCATACTGAGGAACATCTTAGACAGTGGGAGCCAGCAATGGGGTCAACATTCTATGCACTCTAATTATTTGAGGCTCTGAACATGTAGTTCTGAGGAGGTTTGTCATTTTTCTTTTTACGTTTTTGAAATCCACCCATATGTGAATTCCACTCTAGCTCCAGTGTTCTCTGTTATAAAGGAAAAGTAGCTGTTTCTACAACATCATGGGTAACTTGTAGTCAGATCATTTCTTTCTCACATCAATCCTTGATGGATGATATATGGGCGTCTGTTATAACATTACCCAAGGGTGTCTGAGCAAATGTATATATATAGAAAGGGCCATATTAAGCTATGCTTCATGTATATGAATAACTTTTAGATAACACATTTAATATTTAAAATTGAAAATAAAAAACCCAACTCTTTGTTTCTTTTTCTCAACTTTTTTTGAAACAATTCATGTATCTCTTGGCCTCTATGAGCAGTACTAAATAAAGACCACAAATCATAGCCTGTGTTTTGGTGTTCATGTGCATTTAGCATAGAGATAATCTCATCATCTATCACATTTTACAAATGGAAAATATACCATAAGAATGGGGCACTTCTACTTATGCAATTATATTCAATTTTTTTTTTTTATTCCACAGTCAGGGCATGTTACCTGATAGTCTGAGGGGGTTTTATGGACAGATTATTTTCCTGAGTTTTACCTTTAGAGTGTAAAATGAATAAAGAAGTATTTACTATATACTTGGAAACATATGCCCAATTGTAAAATTCAGCTATGGTTTATAATTCTCCCTCCTACCATTAAAAACATATAGACATACAGAAAACAAAAACAAAATGCCACGCAAAGTCTCATGTTATCTATAGGACCATAGCACTGGTGAACAGAGTTTTCACTTTAAATGGAATCAGGAAAAATAGAAATGTACCTTAATATTGAATGTCACTTCTTTCAGATACTGGGATTCCAGATACTGAAATAGAAAACAGTGAAACTCCTCATGATAGTACTGCTATGCAAGGTACAGTAAACAGTGTACTTCTTTCTGTAACTGCTTAATGTGTGACCCCTGGGGGTGGGAAGGGGATAAGCTCCTATGTTGATACTTTTCATATAAGGAAAATAAATAAATAAGTTTACCTTTTCTTACTTCATGATAGAGGAAAAAGTTTGCAGTGTTTATTGAGACTATGTGTTTAGAGACTAATAATTTTACATACACAATGTGAGCAAATTTCTTGTATGTTTATCCATTAAAAGGATGTACATTTATATGTTAGGCATATTCTAAAAATGCAAAATGTGAATATAATTTACCTTTCAGAAGTATAAAATAATATGCTTTTTAAATCTTGCTACTTTACTGTTTGTAAATGACACAGGTAGAATAATCGTAACCTATCAATATTTGCAAAGTATTCTAGGCAACATTTTTATCAATATTTAAGTCCTGATGTTAATTTTAGATACTTTTTGAAACCGACTAAATAAGAAAATAAGAGCAGGACTTATAATACATAATTTACAGGATTCCCACAACTGTTTAGATCCTTTATAATATTTTTAAAAGTATTTAGTGGTAAGAAAATAGGGAAAACAAATCAATATAGAGTCTCATTGGGGCGCAAAGACAGCTAAAAATAAAAAATGGCCACTGGAGTTTTTCAGTGTCTTTCTAATGCAGTTTTCTAGCCCTCTGTATGAAGATTACATTTATTTTCACATTCATGTCTCACTCTAACAAAAAAGAAAAGGCATCTCCATGAGAAAACGATTTCCTAACTTTCAAAAAAGAAGACAACCATAGAAAGGTTGCCTGCTGGATGTTTAACTAATCAGTGCCTTTCCACGGTGTAATGACGGATATCTAGGAAGGCAACAAAACTGGATGTGACCAAAAGATCCATGTGGGTTCATCTGTGGGTCACCATTTTGTATGGCAACTTCAGAAAATTCAGAAATCCTGACTCAGGTAGTTTTGCACATCATCTTTGCAAAACCAGGAGTGTTAGAGATCATGGATCTTCTTGTAATGCCTGATTCTGCTGCAGCTGGATAGAACTAACTAATGCATTAACTTTTGTGAAAGCATGCATGTTTAGCTCACTCAATAAAGCTTTTTCTGTTTCTTATCCCTCTTTTGCTTACCTGCTTTCTTCCCTCAACTTAAAGGCTCTGCCTGTATGAGCAAAGCCAATTTGGATGGGACTCAGTGTTTATCCAATCAGTACACCACAGTGAAACATATAAATAAAGCCCCACTAGTTGTGGTTGCCACCATAGATCTAAGGTAGGGGTGAACAAGTCTGAAGCATCTGATACGTTCTGAATCTGTGACACACACATATAGACCCAGTCTTTAAGGAGCGTTGAGCTTGATTGAACCTTTCTTTGTGGGATGTAAGGTCAGCTTTGTAACTGTAAGAGGTAAACCATCACTGGGTTGTATCTTTATTATCCTTTAATTATCCTTCATTACCCTTTAATTCTATACTCCCAATTTATTGCTCTTTGTTTAATATATATATATATATATATATAATTCTTTTAGTTGACAGTAGTAACATCTTTCTACTAACTTTCTAACTCTGAGATAAATATAAAATTTTTGAACTTTCCTAAAGTTGTTGCTTCATTTCCATGCAACAAACAACAGATAACTTATCCATGGTAGGTCAGTTAGGTGATATAAGGAAAAGCTAGATTCACTATTTGGCTCAATTTTTTATTTTAAGGGAGTGTGCAAAGAATGGATTTTGCATATTAATTTGTGATTAGGAGAGGACACATTTAATATTTGTTTTCAGTGAGCATGCTTTTAATAAGCTCTCCTAGTTTTTACTGTGTAAACAGGAGAGAATTAGCTCTACCTTTAAAAGGATTGAGTTGGAACATATTTTAAAGCAAGGGGATTAACTTTTATATATTGTTTTCAAATTACAAATCAAATTGTCTAGCATTTGTGGTTAATATTTTCAATATATGGTAAAGTATGGTGGATTAATAATTCTTACTAAATGTCTGCCTTTTAGGTTATGTTAAATAGTATTCTTGATAAAAGTGGTAAAAATGAAAAAGTACACATTCCCACATCTCTTAGCACAGCATTTAAGCATGGTAAATAATAAAGTTCCTATCATCAATTTATGAAAAACTAGAGTAAATGCCTTGTATTAATATGAGAGTAGAGTCACAATTTAATATCTAAAAGAAATTATTTTATGAGCAAAACCAATTTATCCTATTCCAGGGGAATAGGTGCCAGAAAATATTATGAGTTAAATATAATTCGTCAAATCAATCAATTCAAATAATTACCAAAAAAACTCAATAATATTACTTTTTTGTTTAAGATGTTCAAAATTGAAAGATTACTTTTATATGTACCTGTGAACTAAAGAAAATGTATTATGCTTGGAAAACAAAATGCAAGCTTAACCATTGTTTTTCCATTCTGCCTAATAATTTTGCTCTTGTGTGTTATCGTTCCTTTTTTTTGTGACATATTTTGATACTGTTTTCATCTTTCTCACTTCCCTCAATTACCCATTTTTTAACTTGGAAGATTATTTCCCAGCATTGTTTGTGAGGTTCAATTCATGCATGCCAATCCAATGCCATTTCCACAACTCATCTTCATCACAACAAACAGTTCCAGCATCAGTGAAGTCGTTTCCTATTGTCAATAGCTCTGCTGGATAGAAATCTATTATTCCCTTAGTTCTTTTTCTCTGAAATTCAGTTAGACATTTTGTGACATTTCCTTAAGAGGACTTGGAAGAATGTTGCTTGGCCATCATTAGAAGTAATAAAGTCATATATAGGAGCCTTCACTGGAGGTCCAGTGGTTAAGACTCCGTGTTTCCAATGCAATGGGTGCAGGTTTGATCCCTGGTCAGGGAACAAAGATCCCACATGTCACGTGGTGTGGCCAAATAAGTAAATAAATAGTAAAATAACTAAAAAAAAAAAAAAAAAAACTCATATATAGTTTTATGATAATTTCCACAAACTGCCCATGTACTAGGATTCTTATATGTATTCTAAATCTCTTCAGGTTAGTTATTTTATGTCTTTTATGCTTTGAATGTTTGACAGACAAGGTATCATGCATAGATCACTTTCTGATAAAAGGGTTTCTGTATCCCTTATATTTTAGCAGTCTAAGATAGCAACTCCTCCTGTATATTTTAAGGTGATTAAAAAATGAATACACATCCACTCTGATAGCAGTGTCCACTATTGCTGGCAGTGAAGGATATACACTAATATCCTCCCACACAGATTCCCATGACTCATTTGGGGGCCCACAAGACAGAACATCAACCATCTTATCAACCAATCTCCGTTTCACATAAAATAAACATACCGGGTGTCATTAAGTGTACCTTCAGATCAATGATTTTTGCAAATCACATTCAAGTACCATTTGCGTAGTGCATTTTTGCTGATAAAAGCAAATTAAATTAGCACAACAAGTGAGCTGATAAAAACTAAAACCGAACAGCAGTACCATTAGCTAACAAAGTAATATTTTCTCTTTACTGCATTCTGCCATTTAGTTATTATCCTATTGGAAATCTAATTATAATCCTTTTACTCCCTAGTCAAACTTCACAGTTTTTGCAAGCTTAGCACTGACAAGTGATTTCATTACCTTTGATTGCCCATGCCCGGATTGACTTAACTTCACTTGGAGACCTAAAAGCGCTCTCAGTTTCTCAGATCCCCTGTTTGCACATTACAGCAACAGCTCCTTTAATTAATTAGCATGAACAGCAGTAGCATGAACTGCTGAACAGAAAATAACATCATTTTATGATCACAGGGAGACTTCTCCTTTTGCATGTTTATACCTTAGTTAACTTTTGTATGACTATTTCATTGTTAGGGGCTACTGGTACAGTGCATGTTTCTTTAGTTTTTGAAAATTGATATCATCATCTTAATAATAATAATAGATAAAACAAATCCAGAATATGAAACTTCTATATTTTAGAAAACAGGTAACAGCCTTCATGAACTGACTTTCTAGTAACAAAATAAAATAATTTTTTAAAAAGTTCAGAGGAAATAACATTATAAAGTACAAGGGCACACAATGATGCATTAACCCCATTTCTGCCACTGCATTTGTTTGGGAAGAAAACAAAACAATACAAAAAAGCTAGGAGATGCTTTTGCAAGAGGAATGTCAATACCTTTGAATAATTTTTACGTTTGCTTTTTTGCCTACATGCTTGACAATGACACAAAATGGTTTAACACTGGAATATATTTTTCATCTGATATTTTTTCAGATATATGGTGGAATCTTGAATAATTTTCCCTTCTTTTTGATACTAACACACCAGAAGCAGATAAGAAATCCAATCTACGTGTCAAAGTTAAGCAAAATTTGATGTAAAAAATGAACATATTGAACCATTTGTTCCCTCTGAATCATTTTTGTTCAGAAAAAAATGTGGGAGCTTATTCAAAGAGTATAAACTTATCATTCTGATATGTAAAATCCATGATCTCATCTATGCAGCATTTGGTGAAGATGCCACTGAAGAATTAAAGCAAAGTGACTAAAGTGTTATTTGACTCTAAAAGAAACAGACACAATTTTAACATCTCTATGTTAATAAGAACACATATTTTACAATGTAATTTAATATACATATATTTACAGTATAGAATTTTAAATATATTTATACTATGAAATATATATGAATATGTATATTCTTATCCATTTTTCTCAAAATCAATTTGAACAGTGTTTATCCTTCCTTAACCTTTGACACCTCATTATCTTCTCTCTTTGCTGCTCACTTGGTAACTAAAACTACATTTTTCCAAAGAGCTTAAAATACCATACCAATATTTATTGAAAACAATTACCCTTGGGCTAAGATTGTCATTGCAAAATTTGATAAAATAGCAAGGAAATTGATGGTAGGGGCAAGTAAGGGGACTGGAAAAGAGAAATCAACGTATGATTTCTTGCCATGTATGTGATTTGACAAGAAAAACTAA